CTATGAAGGGTGTCAAGCCACCCACCCAGAAGCTCTCATAGATGTTTGACAGCACTCTCCAGGTCCCAACCACGGCCCTTTGTTGCGAAAGGGATCTTTTGCTTGCTGTGTTGTCTCCGTCGTCGCCGTCGTCGTTATCGTCGTCGTCATTGTCGTCGTCGCTGTACTAGTCCCGAGCCCGTAAGGACCTCAATACAAAAAATATAAAAAAGATATAGGTATTTGTATTTAAAACAAAAGAGATCGCCAAATAGTACATAAAGGTCCATGCCACATAAGTGTATAGGCACGCTTTCTGGGGCTGCACAGTATGCAGAATCTATAGAAAGCAAGTCTCAGACTAGTGCTAGCTTCTTGCAAGCCATTTTTCTCTGAGGTGGTTCGAGCTGCGGCTCGTCCTTGCGACCTGGGACGCTTGGGAACGAAGTCGCTGCAAGTCAGAGCCGGGTGCCGAGATGTGTTGCTTCCTGGGTGCGAAGCTCGACCTCAGCCCTGGAGACCCTAGCCATAGCCCTAGCTATGTCTCCAGGCTTCGGGGTGTTTGAGACATTTCTTGTGTGCCAGGCAAGCGGATTAGGGGGGCACGGTGGTCACGCTTTCTGTCTTGCAAGTTGCGATTCCGGATCGCTGGAGCGGTCTCTCATCCTGTCTGTGCTAATTCATTTCTTCGGGTGGTCCGTCTGAAGCGGCATATTCCGCTGTGGCACGATTGCCAGTCGCTCCAATCGAAGTGCAAGATCATCTCGGGAGCTCCGAATGAACCGCTTCTTCCTTTGATAACCATCGCCAGATAATTCTGGATTGGATAAACGATGGATCTTCACCAGGCGAGGCAGGCTTTGGTGCCAGACCTTAGGGGGCATGCTGCACATCTGAAGTTTCCCGTGCAGCCAGAGTGAATGATTTGCCGTGGTTAGTTTGCAATTTTATGCTAGACCTTCTTCTGCTTACTTGTGAGTGACAGCAGCTTGACGATTACTGGGTCGAACGTAGCTGGAGCAGGGCGATGACAGCTCTTGTCAACTAGATATCACCAGCCCAGGAAACGGGTTCTATGCTTCTCCACACTGCACTATGACCAGTCAGACATACACAGAATCATTCATCTCAGCAGGCAGGCTCAAAAGCAATGGTGCTGAGCTCGGACTCTAGCGAAACCAGCTCCACAGAGACTTCAGACGACTCACAGGACGAGGAGGCTGTCCCAGCGCGGCGCTTTGCCGTGGACATTGTGGCGCTGACTCGGGAATGGGGCCATGCCGACTCTGACTTGTCCGAGGAGGGGATGTCCCCCGCCTGCCAGGGACGGCACACACGTTACAGGAACATGGCGCTGGCCCTAGAGGCTGCAGAGAGGCGTCTGTCCACCAGGAGCAGGAGCCAGTTTTTTCTGGGGCCAGTATGTTTCGAAAGCCCGCGCGTGCAGGCCTTGTCCAGCTTCGTCATTTTTCTGACAACAAACACACGAACGATGGTGAACGCAGCGGTAGTGGACCACTACATCAACAGAAGTGGCATTGAGGCTTTTGATGAGTCGACATGGGAGCTGGATTCGCTCGCAAAGGATGCATGGTATTTCATCTTCCTCGCCATGGACATCAGCTTCATGCTTTTTCAAATCGCCTGTGTGCGTCGTGACAGGCGCATGTCTCAGCTCTGCCAACGTTTGTGGCAGGAAGGTGCTTACATCAGGCTGATAGCATTCCACATCTACGCAATCATCCTCCTTGGGATTTTCTCAGGCTGGCAGCTCGTTCGTGGATACCGACAACTGAGCAATCAAGGGTATCGGGACAGTTTCCTTCTTGAGCTTGGCGACCCATCGATGGCCGACAGTGGTGCATTCCGAATGCCTTTCTATAGCAGTCACCTTACCTTCTTTTACGAGATGCCATTCATGCTGCGAATATGTCATTTCCTGTCGAGAGACACACTCTCATCGTTTGATCTTATTGTTTGTGTCGCTGCCGGCGGATCATTTGCCCTCGTGCTGTTTGCCTTGCTCACTTTAGATTATGGCGTTTCAAGCACTTTGGTGACCCGGTACCAGACCGCGCAGCGATGCCCTTTCAGTGTCGTGCATGCACTCCTTCGTGGAGCGGAGATGCTCACACGTACTCTGGTGGTGACATCAACCATGCTTGTCACGTCCTGCCAGTTCTTCGGACATTGGCTCTTCTTAGCGGCTCTGAGCGACTGGGTGATTGGGCTACTGCTGCTATCATGGGCATCGAGCGGATTTTCCAAAAGAGCTTTGTTCCTCTCCATTCCGCTCTTCGGTTCCAATATCGCTCTCTTTGTCGACTTGCCCAGCTTGTCTGGTCGGGCACGAACTTTGACAATCTTCTTGGACGTTCTGCGGTCCTTGGAGATGGGACCTGCCATTTACTTTTATCTTCTGGAACACTCAGCCATTCAATCGGACCAGCTGAGTGGAAACACCGGTTTCCATATTCGAGTGCTGGGGTAGCTAGGCTTTAATCTGAAAGCTTTTCTGAGGTTTTGTCTGTGCAAAGTCCCCGCCGGTAGCCATACCAAGTGCTCTTCCCCTCCCTGGTTAGGTGTTTGGTTGCAATGATATTGGCCTGGTGTGTCCACATGCTGCTGCGATGCTTTCTCGCCGTGGGAGGCCTGAGAGCGGTGGCCAAGGATACTGCACCCGGGAAACTGGAGACTGCATGTTCGTTTGATGACGCGGTCTTTGGCTCTTCCCTGGACGAGGCCTACTTCTATCAAGACGGCGCAGTAAGCCTTGCCGGCTGGCTCTTCTCCAAGGGCATCGGTGACCAGTTCGCTTCCCTGCTGGAAATTTGCTGGGAACGTCAGCCCTTAAGGCTGTCGCGCCTGGAGGCGCTTGCGAAATTGGGGGAGGGTGGCTTCGGTCGAGTCTACAAAGTCTGCGATACTAGACGAGGAATGGAGTACGCGCTGAAGCTCCAGGGCCGAAGTCGAGTGGCAAGAGCAGCCGTTCGAGAAGCAAATGCACTCCATGAAGTCAAGCACCCATGTGTTGTAGAGCTCATTCAAGTCTTTTGCACTTCGTCCTTTTACTGCATCCTTCTGGAGTTGTGTGACGTTGATCTGAACCGATACATCCTCGACAGCCAGAATGCCTTCGGAGTTGCAGATGGCTTGCCGGAGCGAGATTGCAGGATGTTTCTGGGGTGCATTTATTTGGCTTTGCAGCACCTCCACGACAGAGAAATTGTTTTCTGCGACCTCAAGCCCGAGAACATTCTGATCCGGACCGTGCGGAAGCCAGCAGAGCTGAAAGTGGCAAAGCTGGCGGACTTTGGATTGGCAAAACCCATTGACAAGCTTGCGCAGTCTGCGGCATCCTTGTGTGGCCGTTTCTCTGGAACTCCGGCTTTCTTGCCACCGGAGGGGCCTTTCACATCCGAGTCACCAGCTGATGTGCCTCAGTCTCCTAGCGCTGTCCTGCACCAACTTGTTTCACGGGACTGGTATGCGCTTGGTTGCGTCTTGTTCCTGATGTTATTCGGTGAGGTTGGTGGAAGGAAGGTTCGCTATGCAGTCAGGGCGATCCTGCTGCCACCACCGTGTGATGTCATTGCTGCCGTCATCTCTGATGCAGTGATTGCCGGCAGTCACAATCAATCTGCTCTTGAGCTGAACAAATCTCTCCTAGCGCCGTTGCCAGAGCGTGGCGGTGGGGAAGATGTCAGGAGAAGCGCTTTCCTGGTGCAGACGCTTCCTGTCTTGGAGAAGATGGCCGCGGACTTCAGTTCTGCCCGACGAGATCGGTATGGTGGCTGAGCCTCTCAGTAGCTGAGTAGCTGCCTAGGTCTTTTCTTGCTGCCAAAGTGCAGATCCGTGCAGCCCGGAACAGGGTCCACAAACAGCTGTGTCAAGTTTGTTTGGTTTACCTGTAAAGGCTGGCGGATTCGATTGCTGCGGTTTGCATGTCTTCGTATCACACTCCTTCAAGTCTTCAAGCTGCCAAGGCTTCCAAGGCTCGACGTCTGGACGAAGAGTCGATCACGAGCAAGCCGAAAGGACGGTGGAACCTGAAGTGGTACCCGTAGGAAGTCAGGCGTATTCAGGCGTTTTTTGGGCTTCTGCAGGACACGTGGAGCCCAACAGAAGGAATTCCGTGAACGAGACAGTCGCAGGCACGTTTGTGGAATTAGCCCTGCAATTGACATTGCCAAACATCTCCAGGAAAGCTGCCGACCTCTTCTCAAGACATTGAGGATGTTTTGAAGCAGCTCACGCAGTGATCCCAGACTGCAAGCGTGCCGTGGATTGCAGCCTGCACCTGTTGCTTGAGGGTTGCTTGGCTGCTCTGCGAGACATCCAAGGCCGCGTTTACGTCAAATTAGCGAGGCACAGAATTTGGAGTACAGGCTCGCTGCCGGGAGGTAAAGGGATCGGATTGATCACATGCGTTTGTGGCCGAGTTCAGGTTGGGCAAATCCAAGGAGGACAAAGAAGAGAAGTTCGATGCCGAGGGATGAGTGGATGTAGGAGGTTGGGCTGGAATGAACTTCACGTCCGAAAAGCATGGCGACGACTGCAGAACTTGGCCCACGCAACAAGCCATGGGTGGTCCTTATAAATAGAAGCGCATAAACCTTGTAAGCGGAAGAAGTGTATCTCAATCATCTCCAAGGCATCCGTAGAGTATGCTGTTGCGGCAGTGGCGGGGCCGAGTTGCGCCCTGGAAGGGCAGGACCGGTCCTTGCCGAATGCCGAAGGCAGGCATGACTGCAATTCGTGCCTTGCCTCGTGTCACCTTTAGGTCTTGCTTCTATGCAATGGCCTGCATACGCAGTTGCCGGTTGCTGCAGAGGGTTGCGGGTCTTCTCGCCCAACCTGAGAAGGATGTCCACGGGTTAACTGTCCAGCAACCTCCTGCTCGGCAAGACATTCGGTCATAGTGGCGAGCATTGCCATCAGCTCGTCATGCATCAAAACCCATTGTGCCTGCTGCGGAGGTCGTTAGCCATTCTGGTGCTGCCCTGCAAGCTGAATATAGCCATGCGCACGCAGGCGAGTGACTGCGGCGAAGGCAGCAGAGACAAAGATGAAGCAGTCCTTGAACCGAACCAACAGTGCCAGGCCTTCAGGCATTAAAGTGTGGACGTTGCAGTCGGGGTGGCCGGCAGCTTTGCGACTCCTAAGCGTGAGGCCCCGACCCTCAAAAAGTCTAGCACCAATGCGGGGGGGCCCAGTGACTGTGACCGAAATTGTAAGTGCTCGGATGACACTGTGCTGCAGAGCGAGCTGCCAGAACTCTGCTGTGCAGGAGACCGGTGCAGGCCAGGCAGCAGAGGTCTTCGGTGACAAGCAACGGCCTCAGTCGTGCAGCTCAGGGGACCTTCAAAAGTTCTGGCCAAGTTCTTGCGCCAGTATTGCGTTCAATGGCCGGGTGGAGTTGCAATTGCCCAGAACTGCCAAGGCCGCCCGAAATCAATGTTGCAGATGCAAACAACGGCACCTCAGCCCCTGCAAAGCCGAGGGCTTGGCGGTTTATGAATGCTCAGCTCCGCCACCCTGCTACTTCACAGGTCTTCCCCTGGAAGTTCGAAGTCGTTGAAGGTGTGACGTGTTCTGTAAGCTGTTGCATGACATTCTTCGCGGAGATACGGTACTTGTGGGATCGGTGATGTGCAGCTTCTGGAAGGCTGGTGCGGCTGCTGGGCTTCAGTTGGCACCCCAGGACCTAGGATCACTATGGAACACTGGGAGATAGCAGTTTTTGCGCGACTGCATGCATTCTCCACAAAAGCACGATGCTGCTACACCCAAAGTCGCCAAGTGGCGGGTCGTGGCACTTTCCCGGGCGAGTTGTGATCGTGCCGTGCTGTGCAGAAGTAAAATGTAGTAAATATAGGTGTAGGATGGCGTAGGCATCCTCGCATTCCGAGTGCATTTGTGAGAATAATCCGTGCGCCTGAGGTGAAGACTGCAGCCGCCAGGCTGGATGATCGATCCTTCTCCTTGTGAGTGCTTCATTTGCGTAAACTTGACACAGCACTTTACGGACATCGATTCATGACCCACCCACCCACCCACCCACCC